ATACAATATTTATCCTTGTGGACTGAGTTAGTTCACTCAGCATAATGCTCTCCAGTCCCTCCCAAGTTAGGTAATAATTTACAAAGTTATTGCTCCTGCGTGCTGCATAATATTCCATTGTGTGAATGTGCCATAATTTCTCAGTCCATTCATTTGTGGTTGGAAATTTAGGCTGTTTCCATGTTCTTGCAATGGTGAATAATGCTGTTATGAACATTGGTGTACAAATCTCATTTTGTGCCTCAGGTCTCATATTCTCAGGGTATAATTCCAAGTAGTGGAATAGCTAGGTCATATGGAATTTCTATGTTCAGCTTTCTGAGGAAGCACCAAACTGCCTTCCAGAATGGTTGCACCATTTTACAGTCCCACCAACAATGTATGAGTTCCTTTCTCGCCACATCCTCTCCACCATCTATTACTTGCTGCCCTGTTAAACTTTTCCACTCTTACTAGAGCAAGATGGTACCTCATTGTGGTTTTGATATGCATCTCTCTTATTGCCAGTGATTTGGAGTTATTCCTTTTGATGTCATCCCACACGATTTTAATGTTTTCTGAATTTTCTTTGTCTCATCTCTGATTTTTCTTCTAGTGTGTTTCCATTGTGATTCTTGTCTTCCAGCTCACTGACTCTGTTTCATCCCTTCTGTTCTACTTTTTTGTCTTTTAAGTGTGTTGGACCACTTCTGCCATTGCAGTCTTAATATTCTGGATGCATTTTCATGCCTTTCTGTTATTTCTAGTACTGTGTTGGCAGTGCCCTCTCTATCTTGTGATGATTTTTTAAGTTCTTTTATCTCTTTATCTATAATTTCAATTATTTCTTCCCTTTTTTTGCATTTTCTTCCATAGTTGTAGAAGTTCCTCATCATCAATATATTTCTTCTGACTAGTGTCTCTGGAGCATTTGCTTTCTTAATGGTTTCCATTGTTTATTCAATCATTTGTACCTTCTTCCATAGCTGTTCAGCTAACTCTTCATCAATGTATTTTTCCTGATTCTCCACCTCTAGGTTATTTTCTTTATTTACCGCTTCCATTGTTTCTTTCATCATTTGTGCTTTCATTCGTAGCTGTTTGAATGTCTGCATATCAGCATATATCATCTGCCTTCTTGACTCGGGGATTCATGAGATCTGTAATGTTCTATGCTTTATTTTTTTTTGAGAAGGCTTAATTTGTTTTTTTCACAGTTTTTGAAAGTATCTACTGCTTTCTTGACATTATGTAAAGTTTTTCTTGATATATGTTTGGTTGTTTCAATTGAGTCTGGGAGAGTTGTTGTTGGTTCTTGTCTTTATAATGTTAATGATTAGTTAGTTACGAAGTTAAAATGTTCAGTGTATGGGGTGAGCTTCTCACTCTACTGTAAGTCCTTTCTGGTAAAATTTGCCTTTCCTAAAGTCCTTGATGTTCTCTCTGTTCTGTACTGTAACCCTGTTGGTGTAGTCCCCCAATACCAACTCTGTAGTCTTCCTTTATGTATGAAGTGGCTGAGTAATGTAAGACACTCAAGGAGTTTCTCATGCACCTTTTCTTTTGGAGCTTAATGTCTTCCTTTGTCTCTGGAGTGACACAAGATTAAAGATCAGGTCTGCCAGCTCAAGCAGCTTATGTGCAGGGGATCTCAAGTCAGTCCTCTCTTCGCAGAGAGCTACAGATATTCTTTCCTTTGCCTTGTAGTTCTGTATACTAAAGTCCCTTGTCTTATTTGTCCCCTGGGATGGCCCCGCAGCCACAGAGGCAGGGATCCCCAGACAGAAGGACCTATAGCCCCAGGGACCCCTCAAGTCTCTTCTCTCCACAAGCAATGGAGAGTGCTTGCTTTCAGCACAGAGCCTCACCTCCCTCACCCTTCTTCCTGCAGTTTAGTGATTTCTTTTGTCTCTGGTATGGCGGGAGATCAGGACCACCAGCTCAAGCAGCTTGTGTACACCGTGTCTCAAGTCAGCCCTCTCTCTGTATAGTTCTGTATTCTAAAGTCTCTTTTCCTGTTTGGTCCTTTGGATCCCTATTCTTAACTTTTATAATTATGGTTTCATACAATACTTGTCCTTTTGTGATTGACTTATGTCTTCCATGTTTATTTATATTGTATAATATTTCACAGATTATTACTTATCATTGCATACTATTCTATTTTATATATTTTTTTATGTATGCACCATATTTTATCCATTCACCCATTGATGGTCATTTAAATTATTTCCACTTTTTTGCTTTTGTGAATAATACTACCACTGAAAATTGGTGTATATATGTCTATTTGTGTTACAGTTCTTATTTCTCTAGGATATATACTTTGGAGTAGGATTGTTGGGTATATTTCTGTCTTTTTAGGAAACTGCCATACTGAATAATGGTTGTATTGTTTTATAGTCCTATCAGCAGTATTTAAGAATTCTTGTCTACTCAAAATATAATTGGTATTTCTTGTTTTCTGGGTGTTTTTTGGTTTTGGTTTGGTTTTTAAAATCACTACTTTTGTTGCTGGGATACAACATCTGTAATGGCTAATGATCCCTCAATGTGCCTATATATCTTCTTTGGTGAAGTGTTTGTTCATATCCTTTGCTCATTATTTAAATTGAATCATTTGTCTTTTTGTTGTTGAGGTGGTGGAATTTTCTATAAGTTTTAGATATTAGACCCATGGCAAATATATTGTTGACAAAATATTTCTTAGTCTGTATATTTTCTTTTTATCCTTTCAGTGAAATCTCTTGATGAGCTGAAATGTTGTTTGCTTTGGCTTTTTTTTTAAATGAACTTTGTAGTTAGTTTTACATTTAGTATTTAAGTATTTGACCCAGCAGCCTTTAGTCTTTGCAAATTCTTTGTGTTATCTGAAAATTTCTCATAACATCCCTTTTCCTTGAGGGGTTATAAAACGTTTGGGGTTTTTTAAAAGGATATTGGATATACATGGGAGATTGCTTTCTATCAAGCCATGGGAAAAAGAATTTCCCCTGTTATGCTCCCAAAACTCTTGTGTAATGTAAAATACATATCAAATTTTTTTTTCATCAACAAGGCAATTACCTTAAATGAAACTTACTTCCGTTTTAGTTAAAAAAATCTTTCATTTTCCGAGAAATTGTTATTTTAACATTAAAAGACTTTACTGAAAGTTAAGGAAGAAAATTAGCCATGTTTTAAATTTAAAGTAATTTCCTTCTTGTTTGCATCCATATGAAAAGACCACTTCCTTTAAGGCATACTGTTATTTTTTTAAGTAAATAATGTATTTGCCCTGTTTGTAAACATCATAAGAAATCAGAAATTGACTTACAGTTTTCTAATTTGGAATGAGGGAAACCAGAATTTAATACCAGTTATACATTAGATTCTTGTTTTCCATGTTGGAGACCCAGGTTTGATTCTTGGCCAGTCCACCTTCTGTGGACCAACCACCCATCTCTCAGTGGAGGCTTGCATGTTGTTTTGATGGTATTTAGTTTTCAGTGGAGTTTCCAGACCAAGATAGACTAGGAGTGGGGGGAAATGCCTAGGGAACTACTACCAAATACCAGCCAATGAAAATGCTGAATCAGAAGGATTCAATCCTCAAGAGGATCATAGGATGATATAAAACTAGGCAGCATGTCATTAGGTAGTACATTGAGTCACCATATATAGTTGCCATGCCTAACAGTGGCCAATGATAGCAACAGCAATTTATTAGATATATGAATTTCAATGGATTACTGAAATAGTAGCTATTTTTATTGACATCATCATGTTGTTGTTAGGTGCCATCAAGTTGAGTACAACTCATAGCAACTCTATGAACACCAAATATGAACCCTGTCTATAGTATGTCAATCTCATAATTTCTGACATACTTAAGCCCATTGCAACAATCACTGTGTTAATCCATCTGATTGAGGGTCTTCCTTTCTTTTGGTGACCCTTATCTTTTCAAGCAAGATGTCCGTCTCCAAGGAATAGCCTCCCCCAACAACATGCCCAAAGTATGTAAGACAAAGCTTTATCATCTTTACATCTAAGGAGCACTCTAGCTGCACCTTCTCTGAGATATATCATTTTGTTCTTTTGGCAGTCCATAGGATATTCAGTATTCTTCTCCAACACCCCAGCTCAAAGGCATCAGTTCTTCTGTCATCCTTATTTATTGTCCAGCTCTCAGATGCATGGCCAGTGGTTGAAAAGACCATGGTCTGAATCAGGTGCATCTTCGTCCTCAAATTGGCATCATTGCTTCTCAGTATTTAGTCCCTGACTACAGACTTTCCCCATATCCAGATCTCCTAACTCTTAGTACCAAGGATGTTGCTTATGAAACAAAGTAAGGTGCAGTTGTTGACAGTTTCAATCTTTTCTCATCTATCATGATGTTGCCTATATAGGTCTAGTGTTAAGAATGTTTTGGGTTTTTTTTTAATGTTGAAGTGTTTTGTTATTATGTGATGGAATATTTTGTTATTTGTTATTTGTTTTAGTGAAGGTTGTATTTGTCATTGGAAAATCTTTTTATTAATCAGACATTGAAATCAAGAAAAATTATTGGCATGCCAACAGTACATACATTCCTCTGTTCTGGTTGTTTAAAAGGGAGTTCTGCTGGAGTAGTCCAAGTGGAATTGTGCTACTAACCTGAAGGTTATGCCTCTCTGATGGTTTCAATACATCAGCAGCTCAGCAGGAGAAAGATATGAAATTTACAGCCTCCCAAAAACCCACTGGAGGATCAGCTATGAGTCTGTTCTAACTTGACAGTAGTGAGTTTGAGTTAGGGTTTTATTATTTAAAACCAAAAGGAAAATCTTTTCTTTACTGTAATAATTTGATGGTTTTCAAATTAAAGTCAAGGATCTGTTTGTATATTCCCAAAGGTAGCACATATAATTTGATACTGTGTCTTTTTGAAGCCCTCTCTGAGACTTAGACCTCTAGGAAAGTGTGACATCTGAAATGAGGGCTATATCTGATGGATTTTGTGGTCAGGTAGTATGTGTATACTGACCATTTGAAGGGAGTGATATCATGTAGTCTAAGTTCCTCATACTTGCCTTGGAAAGCAGGGAATGTGCTCTTAGGGATCATGGGACCTACTATGCTTTGTTAATAAGTAGAATTAATAAGAGTATTCTTACTACTTTAAGAGTATTCTTGACTGGATAGAAAAACGATGGTATAGTCATACAATAGAATACTCTGCAGCACTGTAAAACAAGGAACTCATAAAATATTATACAGCATGGATGACCCTGGGAGACATTCTGCTGAGTGAAATATCTTAGTCACAAAAAGACAAATCACTGCTGTAAAACAGGACTGACATGGGGGATGGAGGGGAAACAGAAAAGGGGATAAATAATGAACACTGCATTGGAACAGAAGAAGGAAAAAACTGTTTAAAAGGAATACATGACTAGGCGTTATCTGTATGACAACAGTTCAGAATAAGAGGTGCATGGCAAAGTGGACTTGGGGAGTGGTGGGGGAAGAGGGAGTGAATTTTTTTTAAAGTTAACTTAGAGGGCAGTAGGAGGAAAATGTGCAACAATGAATGAATGAAAATCCAACTTTTCTGTAATCACTCATTAAAATCACAATTAAAAAAGAAAGAAAGGGGGGGAAGAGTGTAAGATAGTTCCTTTAAGTTGGCTCTAGTTATATAGCAGTTCCCAAGTTATAGACAATATCTATTACTGTCCTTATGAATTTGTAGATGCTTAGGGTTTTTATTTAGCCTTACTTTAGAAGAAATGGCTAGATACCTTTCCAGCGGTTTAAAATCTGTATGTACAGCAAGTGACGGGGATATTGATGAAGAATTTTTGTATAACAGGAGTTGGTTCAGTCATTCAAAGTGAGGACAAGTACGTGTAACATTAAAGGACAGGTCAGAGTTGTCCTTAGTTAGGTTCAGTGTTTATAACCTAAGATAGTATTTGGGCTACTCTATATTAAATATTGACCTTCTCACTTTCTGATGAAAATCTAATATAGGTGCAAATCTGCAGAAGGAGCCAGAAATTATATGGAATTTGAGGAATTAACTGTGAGCCAACTCCTGCTTTGTCTAAGAGAAGGAAACCAAAAGGTGGAAAGACTTGAAATTGCACTCAAAGAGGCCAAAGAAAGGTATAAAATAGATAAGTTAAAATCAGTATTCGTTTTTTAAAAGCTTTCTTATGAGATAATTAAAATACCATAAAATTCACCTATTTTAAAGTGTACTCCACTGGTTTTTTTAAGAATAGTCAGTCATGTGACCATATCTACAGTATAATTTTAGGAAGTCATCTCTACAAAAAGAAACCCCATACCCATACTCATTTGCATACACTCCTCTCTTCCCCACTCTCCCCAGCTCCTAGCAGAAGCTAAGGTACTTTCTGTCACCATAGATTTGCCTATTCTGGACATTTTAAATACATATGTATTTTATATATATACATATATAACATGTGGTCTCCTGTGACTGGCTTCTTTCACTCTCTTCAAAGAATACATGTTGATGCTTTTGTCAGTATTCTATTTCTTTTCATTGTCAAGTAATATTCTATTGTAGGGACTAGATCACATTTTATTGATCTGTTCATTGGTTGATAAACATTTGCATTATTTTCACTTTTGCCTTTTATGAATATTGTGAGCATTAATGTACATTTTTGCAAGGATACCTAGTTTCACTTCTCTGAGGTATATACCTAGGAATGTAATTGCTGTGTTGTATGATAGTTAAATGTAATATTTTTCAGAACTACCAAAGTAGGTATATCATTTTACATTCGTACCAACAATATATGAGGATTACAGTTTTCTACATTCTTGTCAACATCAATGACTTTATTTTACTTGGATCCACACTCAATACAATTGGTACCAGCAGCCAGGAGAACAAGAGATGTATTGGACTGACAAAGTCTGTAGTCAGGGACTACTCCGTTCCAGAAGAGTTTTCTTACTGGTTCTGAGGTCCCATTCCTCCCAGCACTCCCTTCCCCTGCTCTATTTCTTCCTTTTATAGTGTTACAGGTCGCACCCTAATGAAATTTCCCTTACATAGATTAGATCATGATGTGATTAAGGGATGCTATATTTTACCTTTAAACCTCCCACAACTGTTGGGTTTATCAGATCATTATACAGTTTCCATGATATATCATTGCATGCATTTTTTAGGGGACATAATCCATGGCAACCATCAGATATTATGTTAGCCAGAGTTTTTAGCAGAAGCTTTTTATAAGATTGACAAAATTCTCACTAAGTTTGTTGCCGTTTTTGTCATGAATTTTTAAAAACTTTTTGTTATTATTAATTTCAATGAAAATTTACAGAGACTTTGGATTTCCATTCATTTGTTGTTGTACTTTTCTCCCCTCCCAACCCTCCCCCCTGTACACTCCCCTCTTGGAAAAGTAAAAGGAAAATTTCTTTGATTATTTTACAATCCCTCCCCCCAGGTCCACTCCACTATGCAGCCTTAGTTCTGGACTCCTGTCATGACAAAAATACCTAATCACATATACCTTTTAAACAGTTTTCTCCCTCATCTGTTTCAATGCAGTATGCATTATTTAACCCATCTTTCTCAGTCAGCCCCCAACCCCGATGTCAGTCCTGTTTTACAACAGTGGCACCATACAGTATTTATCCTTTTGTGACTGAGATACTTCACTCAGCATAATGTACTCCAGGGTCACCCATTTCGAATAATACTGCATGAATTCCTTGTTTTTCAATGCAGAGTAGTATTCCATTGTGTGAATATACCACAGCTTCTCTATCCATTCATTTGTTGATGAGCACTTAGGTTGTTTCCAACTCTTTGTTATTGTGGACAAAAATGCGATAAACATGGGTGTGCATATATCTGTTTGGGTGGCAGTTATGGTCTCTTTGGGGTATATTCCCAGTAGTGGAATTGCTGGGTCAAATGTTATCTCTATTTACAACTTTTTGAGAAAGCGCCATACTGCCTTCCTCAGTGGTTGCACCATTTTACACTCCCACCAACAGTGAATAAGGGTTCCAGTTTTCCCACAACCTCGCCAGCATTTGTTGCTTGCTGTTCTGTTAAATTTTGCTATTCTGACTGGAATGAAATGATCTCTCATAGTTTTCTTGGTGAATGAGTTTTTAATTTTGTCAAGTGCTTTGCCCATATCTCTTGATCATATAAAGTTTTTGTGCTGTTTTATTATTTAATATGGCATATTAAATGAATTTTATTTTCAGACATTTAAATCAGTTGACTTCCTGAGATAAATTCTACTTGGTCATGATGCATATGTTCTGGAATTCAGTTTGCTTGTATTATGTTGAAGATTTTTGCATATATATTTATTAGGGATAATGGTATGTAGTTTCTTTAATTTGATGCCTTTGCCTGGTTTTGGTATCAGGGTAATTACTGGTATCGTAAGGTGAGTTGATGAGCAATCACTCTTCCTTTGTTTTTTAATATCTGGTAAGCCTTTTTATATTGGTACAATTGCAACATAATGCTATTGCAAGAAAAACCATTTAGCCTGAGATTTGAGATTTTCCCGCAGAATTTTTAAGACATTGTTTTGTTGTGTTCCAGCCTTTGGTGGAAACAGAAAACTCTGTTGGCATATTGATTCTTTTCCTTTTTGTAGGAAACTTTTTCTTGTTCTTTATTTCTAAAGGTTTTGTACTAAGTCTCAGGTATCTGAAGTTGTCCCATGTCCCATATGCCTTTGGGCAATGCCGTTTTTCATCCAATTGTTAAACCCTAAAACCCTAAACTCATAAAACAAAATCTATGTGAATGTTTGAATGAAGCTCAATTAACAAAAGAAGGGGGAAACTCCCAAACTGATTGGACAGTAATAGCAATAATTTCTTGTGTTCTGGTTTCTCTTTTTTTTCTAATTGGGTGTTATGGACCAGTCCTCTAATATTATTTACTCTTTGCTCCTTCTTTCTGTTTCTGTTTTGATTGGTTTTAATTACTTTCTGGTAGGTTTGATTAAATTTCATCAATCTTTGTTTTTTGTCCTTTGATTTTCATTCCTTTGGTCTTGTTGTGTATATTTTGGATTGGTTTTTATTTTTTTAAAGTGGATGTAGTGGGGGGAGGGTGGTCTGGGTGGGGAAAGAAGGGCAGCAATGAATGAATGGAAATCCAAAATCTCTGCCAATGTTCATTAAAATTATTAAAAGAAAAAAGTGGATGTAACACAAACAACAGATGCTGGTGAGGTTGTGGAGAAACTGGAACCCCTATACTCACTGTTTGTGGGAGTGTAAAATGGTGCAACCACTATGGAAGGCAGTTTGGCACTTTCTCAAAAAGTTGGAAATAGAAATACAATTTGACCCAGCAATTCCTCTACTGGGAATATACCCTAAAGAAACCAGAACGGCCACTCAAGCAGATATATGCACACCCATGTTTACAGTAGCAAAGATTTGGAAATAACCCAAGTACCCATCAAAAAACTAATGGATAAAGAAGCTCTGGTATATTCACACAATGGAAAATTATGCTGCATTGAAAAACAAGGAATTCGAAATATTATCCAAATGGCTGACCCTGGAGAACATAATTCTGAGTGAAATATCTCAGTCATAAAAAGGCAAATACTGCATAATGCCACTGTTATAAAAGAGGACTGACATAGGGGTTGGGGGGAGACTGAGAAAGATAGGACAAATAATGTATACTATATTGAAACAGATGAAGGAGAGAACTGTTTAAAAGGGATATATGATTAGGTATTATTGTCATGCAGGTGTACAGAACAAAGGCTGCATAGTGGAGTGGACTTGAAGGGAAGGATTGTATAACAATGAAAGAATTTTTCTTTAACTTCAAAGAGAAGAGTGAATTGGTTGGGGGGGGTTGGACAGGGAGAAAAGTACAACAATGAATGAATGGAAATCCAAAGTCTCTGTAAATTTTCATTAAAATTAATTAAAAAAATTATTTTCTTAGGATTTTGAATAGGAGAAAAGTTGCAGGCATTTATTCAACCTACTGTCTTTTCCCATATTTTGTAAGATGACTTTCATGTGATTATGATTAGGGATAAAAAATATTGCTACACTTGTTTGTCTGTTCAGGTATTGTCAACTTAGATGGGTCCTAAAGGTAAATCTTTCCTTATTTGCTAAAAACCTGTAAAGGAGAGACTCACACTTATAGAATCCCCATGTGTGTACATGTATGTATACATAATTCTTAAATTGAGTCTCATCCATTTTTATGATGAAATATAAAACATAAACAAGCTACCATAATAAACATAAAAAAATTTTTTTAAATCCCTGCTCTCTTATCTAGAGTTTAGACGGTGTTCTTTTTAGTGCTTTTTAAAGTATTCCTCCAGAGAAATAACAAAAAGAAATTAGCCTTTCTACATTCTATAACTTTTCAGAATTTCAGATTTTGAGAAGAAAGCAAATAATCACGCTGAAATTGAGACCCAGACTGAGGAGAGCACAGAAGAAGAGAAGGAAGAGGAGAAAGGCACAGAAACGGTGAGCACTAAGATTCCAACACTGATTTTATTTGCCCTGATGTACTGAAGACTAGTGTAGAGACCAACTTTGAACCTTACGATTTAAGTGTAAGATGTCATTCAGACTCATAGGAAACCTACTGATGCAATGGTTAAGTGCTCAGCTGTGAACCAAAAGGTCAGTGGTTTGAACCCACCCCCAATTTCACAAAAAATAAAAAGACCGGCAATCTGCCTGTATAAAGAGTATAGTCCAAGAAATCCTTGCCCTATATGCTCGCTATGAATATATGCTTTATATATTCATATGGAAGTAGTAATAATGTTGAATATTTTCTCTTTTTCTCCTATTGCCTTGTCCTGATTTAAATGGATTGAATATAAGTGAATATTAATTCCCATCAATTGTCTATGAAATCATTCCTCTTCACTAATTTCTTCTAAATACCTAAGTAATTTGGCCTAACAAAAACAAAATTTGTCTTCTTCATAGTACTATTATATGATTATCAGAAATACCTTGAAACACTCTTAACACTTTTAATAGACTCCTTTAAAGTTGAGCAGCAAATCATTACCAAGTAAATCAATGCTCCAACTAAGATTTTTCAGAATATTTATATCCAGAACTTGGAACAAAGATCTTTTGATTGGTGATTATGTAAGAATGCATAATTTTTTAAGTGATAATGTGTTTAAACATTATGAATGCTTAGCTAGGACCCTTATTAAGACAACCACAAGATGAGACATTGACAGAAAAACTTCTGGAATCTTAGAAACAGGTTCTATCTTCAACTGTTTTCTGAAAGAATAAGTTTCAAGTGTTTTAGAAACAGGTTCTATTACTCATCTTCAACTGTTTTCTGAAAGTATAAGTTTCAAGTGTTTTAGTGAGCTAGATCGTAGAAATACAATATGGTTTTATTTAATTATGTGATTGTAAATAATTCCACAAGTTAGTTATATTTCAAGGCATAGCTTGTAGGCATTAAAAATTTTATGTGTATATATTTATGATTATACAGCACAATGATTTTTAACATTTAAATAAGATGACCTTTGTTCTCATAGGAAGACTACTCTCCATTTTCCTAAAGCAAACTTAAAATTTTATTTCATGTCATGGTGACCCCATGTGTGCAGAATAGAACTGCTCCATAGGGTTGTTAAGACTATCACCTTTCAGAAGCAGATCACCTGCTGTCTTCTAAGGCTTCTCCAGCCTAGTTCAGCTACCAAATTTTGAGCTAATAATAATTGAGTGCTTAACCATAATCTTCTTCCAGGAACTCTCCTAAATGATGATCAGAGTTCATTTTAATTTTAATAAGGTTATTATCACAAATGCATCCAAATTAACCAGAAGTGCACTATATGAAAACAAAGTTGTGTCCAAAACATTTATATATGATATTTGGGATATTAATTGTCAGAGTGTAATATATTCTCTATTCTTTTTTTTTATTTTATTATTTTTGTGTAAGTGTACTGTCAAATCAGATCTGACTGGTACAGGAGGAGATTGTCCCTCCTTCCCTGGCAGAGCATCTGGTGGATTTGAACCGTGCGCTTCTGGGATTGTAGTTGCAGCTCCTTACCACTAGGCCACCAGAGCTCCCCTATATTCTCTATTCTTTTTAATTGGGTGCTAATGGTTTGGCATGTTTTCTCACAAAAAGATTCCTTTAAACAGATTAAATCATTAAAGAATGATAATTGCATATCTGTGTTTGCAATTTTCTGTATAATAGGTTGGAAGTGAAGTGGAAGCACTGAATCTTCAGGTGACAACCCTGTTTAAAGAGCTTCAAGAGGCTCATACTAAACTCAGTGAAGCAGAACTAATGAAGAAGAGACTTCAAGAGAAGTAAGAATGAGAGACCATTTTTTTATCCTCCTTCTGAAAATGTAATTTTTCACAAAATATACTACTATATTACTATGGTGTATTTTTTTTTTTGCAAAATGTTACTATATAATATAAAATACAGTAACTCACTATGCTACTGACTAAAAGAAAAATAGAGATGTAATTAAAATATTGCATGCAAGCAAAATGTTGCTTAACATTGTTTAAGAAAAACTGGCTAGAATAATACCAGATTAAACTGTATATAGAAGAGGCCATAGGACATGGATGTCATTGCTGATGTAAGATAGATCTTGGATTAAAAGCAGAGAATACAAGAAGACTATCTACTTATGTTTTATTGATTATGAAAAGGCATTTGGCTGTGTGGATCATAAAAATTATTACTAATATTGAGAAGAATGGGAGTCCCAGAACTCTTAATTATTCTCCTGTGAGACCTATACCTAGATCAAGAAATTGTTGTCCAAACAGAACAAGGGAACACTGCGTGGTTTAAAATCAGGAAAGGTGTATGTCAGGGCTGTATCCTTTCTATATCTATTCAATCTGTGTGCTGAGAAAATAATTTAAGAAGTTGGACTCTATGAAGAAGAAAGTGGAATCAGGATTGGAGGGAGACTCACCATCAACCTGCATTATGCAGATGACACAACCTTGCTTGCTGCACATGAGAAGGACTTGAAGGACTTGTTGCAAAAGATCAAAGAATACAACCTTTAATGTGGTTTGCATCTCAACATCAAGAAAACAAAAATTCTTCCTACTGGACCAATAGGCAATATCATGATGGAGGAAAGATTGAAACTGTCAATGAATTTATCTTAATTGGATTCACAATCAGTATCCTTGGTACAGCAGTCAGGTGATCAGGAGACATAGTGCACTGGGAAATCTACAGTCAGAGACCTCTCCAGAGTACTAAAGAGCAACACTGTCAGTTTGAAACTAAGGTGCTCCTGATTCAGACCCTGGTCTTTTCAGTCGCTTTCTGTGCATCAGAGAACTAAACAGTGAATAAGGATAACAAAAGAATAATTGATATCTTTGAGTTGTGGATTAGAAAAGAGTACTAAATATCCCAAGGACTGTCAAAGGAACAAACAGATATGTCTTAGAGAGAGTGCATCCAGAGTGCTCCTTGGAAACAAAGATGGCAAAGCTTTGCCTAACATTGTTTAGACTTGTTAGGAGGGGGTGTTCCTTGCAGAGTGACATCATACTTGGAAAGGTAGAGGGTCAATAAAAGAGAAAGACCCTCAATCAAATGGATTGACACAGGACTGCTACAGTGGGCTCCACTGTATCGGAAATGGTAAGGAGCAAGCACACTTCAGTCTCCAGACTGACATCGTTCCTCTTCAGTACTCTGGAGGTCCCTGACAGCAAACTTCCCCAATGCAAACTGCCTTTTGATTTCCTACCTGCCGATACCAAGAGTGTTGATTTTGGAGCCAAACAAACTGAAGGAAAAGGAATACGAGTCATTATATGTTAAGATAACAGTCCGGAATAAGAGGTGCATTGAAAAGTGGACTGGGGGAGGAGAAAGGAAGAGGGAGGGAGGAAATAGTGTGAAAATGAATGAATATTTTAAAAAAGAAGGTGAATTTGGGAGGGAGAGGGAGAAAAATGCACAGCAGTGAAATGGAAATCCAACTGTTCTGTAAACTTTCATTTAAATCACAATTTAAAAAATTACAAGGATGGTGCAGGGTTCAGATCCATTGTTAATAGGGCCTCTATGAGAAATATTTGACTCAGTGACACCTAATAAAACAACAGTTAAAATTTGAACTCAGAAAAAGCTAACACACAAGCTAATGTATGAGCAAGAAATAATTGTAGTACTATGTGTGTAAGACTCTCTGGTGGTATAGAAGGAAACATTGAACTGTTAGCACAATCCACCAGCCACTCTGGGAGAAAGGTCTCCTTCTACAAAGATTTACCACCTTGGAAACCCAGTGGAGTTAGAACTGGTTCCATATCAGTGAGTTCCTAAGCCTCTGGTGGTGTAGTTGGTAGTGAGTTGTCCTACTAAGCAAAAATAGTCCGCAGTTCAAACCTACCAGGCCTTCTCAGGAGAAAGACGGACAGTCTTCTCTCATTAAGATTTATAACCTCAGAAACCCAATGGAGAGCTGCTATGTGTTAGAATGACTTGTCAGCAATGGGTTTCTTGGTTTTGAGGAGTGGCGCTAAGGTCTTTAATTCTGTTGTTTGGGGACATGTGGTACATATACTTGCTTATGTAAAGACCTTTATGAATCTGTGAGCCACCTTTCCTATAACTTACTTAAGCTGACAACACTAACATGAACAAATATAAAAGAAAGTTGAAAAGAGCAGAAATATCCTGCGTTAGCTTTATTTAGGGGGAAAATTATTTAAAATCCATTTTTAAGGCTAACATATAAACTGAGAATTTTGAATTTGTTTCTTCTAATGTAAGAAGCTACCCAAAACTTAGGAAAACTAAATTGATGTACTTCTGTTGAGTTAGTTGGTAAAGACATTTCCAGCACAACATATGTTGTTACTGTTGTTATGTGCCATAGCATTGCCTACGACTCATTGCGACCCTATGTAAAACAGCCCTAACCCCTGTTCTATCCTGTGCCAATCTCACTGTCTCTGACACTCCTACCCCTATTACCCCAATCACTGTATCAATCCATCTTATAGAGGGTCTTCCTTACCTGCACTGTCGTCTACCCTCCCAAGCATGACATCTCTCTCCAAGGACTGGACTCTCCTTGCAGCATGTCCAAAGTATGTCAGACAAAGCTTCAGAATCCTTGCCTCCAAGGAGCAGCCTGGTTTAACCCTCTCTAGTATGAACGTTCTCTTAGCAGTCCATGGTGTATTCAATACGCATCTCCAACACCACAGCTGAAAGGCATCAATCTCCTTCTATCATCCCTAATCATTGTCCAGCTCTCTGACGCATAGCAAGTAATTGCAAAGACCATGGCCAGTATCGCACTCCTTAGTCTCCAGACATCGTTGCATTTCAGTACTTTGGAGAGGTCTCTAACAACAGACTTTCCCATTGCAGTACCTTTTAATTTCCTGGCTGATGGTGCCAGAGTGTTGATTGTGAAGCAAAGCAAGCTAAAGGTGTTAACAATCTCAATCTCTTCACCTTCTATCATGATGCTGCCAATCGGGCCAGTGGTTAGAATCTTTGTTTTCTTGATATTGAGCTTCAATTCATATTGAAGGCTACAGTCCTTGACCTTCTGCAGCGAGTGCTTCGGTCCTCCTCAGTTTCAGCAAGCAGGGTTGTGTCATCTTCATAACACGGAGCACAACATATAGGTGTGTTTTCTTGAATTTATACTTAACACCAAAGAGTTAAGGTAATCTGGTACTACATAGCAACTAAAAAGAAGGCCTTTTGACAAACAGACCTACATTTAAAATAAAAATCTATCACAGTATTTCTTTGAGTGCCTCTCTGAACCTCAGTTTTATCTTTGTAAATTATATATATTAGTCTTTACTTCATTCATTGTTACATTCTGTCCAGTTGACTGTCAACTCATAGAAACCATAGAAATAACTTCAAAATCTATGCCTGGCACATAGCTGCCTTTTATGTTTACTGTTATTATACTGACATTCTCTTTCAGGTCTTGAATGGGACTTAGAGCACTTCGTTTTCTCCTCTTGAATCTTTCTCAGAAGTCATAATCTTGGTGCTTAACTATTAACTTCTTTAAAGATAACAGGTATCAATAGATCACTATATGAGAAGTACCTTTGGCAAACACTACTTTGGTCAGTGTTTAAATATAAACATGTTAGCAGAACTACTTAAAACAGTTATTTAAAATGGATAGTAACTCTTGTGACCTTAGGTCTATACTTCTGTGCTAGGAAAAGACAAGAAGATAAAATATATTCTGTTGTGCCATTAAATCTTTGAAAATTGGCCCCAGTCACTGAGCCGCCACTGAGGACTCAGCTGCCTTCCCCTCGAGCCCCCTCGCTTCCCGACGCTCTGTCCCCCCTGCCCGCTTTCTCCTGCCACCACCTTCCGTAGGTCGTTTCCACTGAGGAAAAGGTATCGTATCATATGTCCGCTATCCATAATCTCCACTCTTTCGACCCCTTTGCTGATGCAAGTAAGGGTGATGACCTGCTTCCTGCTGGGACTGAGGATTATATCCATATAAGAATTCAACAGAGAAATGGCAGGAAGACCCTTACAACTGTCCAAGGGATCGCTGATGATTACAATAAAAACAAACTAGTGAAGGCGTTTAAGAAGAAGTTTGCCTGCAGTGGTACTGTAATTGAGCATCCACAATATGGAGGAGTAATTCAGCTACAGGGTGACCAACGCAAGAACATATGCCAGTTCCTTGTAGAGATTGGACTGGCTAAGGACGACCAGCTGAAGGTTCATGGGTTTTAAGTGCTTGTGGCTCACTGAAACTTAAGTGAGGATTTCCTTGCAATGAGTAGAAAATTTCCCTTCTGTCCCTTGTCACAAGTTTAAAACTTCACAGCTTGTATAATGTAACCATTTGGGGTCCACTTTCAACTTGGACTAGTGTAACACTTTCATGCAATAAACTGAAAAGAGAAAAAAAAAATCTTTGAAAATTGCAACCCTAAGATGTTTTGTACTTGCTACAGACTCTTTGTATTGATTTAAGAGCCATAGAGAAGTGAAGGAGTAATGATTGTCGTCATGAGGTCTTAATTGTTGGTTGGTTTGTGGTTTTTTTTTTTTATATAGATGTCAAGTCCTTGAAAGGAAAAATTCTGCAACTCCATCAGAGCTGAATGAAAAGCAAGAACTTGTATATAATAACAAAAAGTTAGAGCTACAAGTGGAAAGCATGCGATCAGAAATAAAAATGGAGCAAAGTAAAACAGAAGATGAAAAGTGAGTGTGTGGTGCTTGGGTGGCTTCTTGCTAAACATAATAGCTAGTATGTACAGATTACAATTAGGATTGGAGAATAAAATTAAGAAGTCTTTTTTATTTATTTGAAGATGTACTGGGAGTCTAAGGGGATAAGTTAAAATTATTTTCTGTTTTTAATTTATAGAAATGATTTTCTTTAAGAGTAGAAAAATAGTAATTATTAAGTGATAAAGATAGGAGAGAAAATTCTGCTACTTGATTGTTCAGCAAAAGGTTGGGAGGCATGGTTATAATTATGTTTCTGTGATTTTTTCTCTCCCCAATCTCTGATTTTTGGGTTTTTTTAAAAAGTCTCTTTTTTGACAGGGCCAAATTAGCATCTCTACAGTTAACACACAGCAAGCTTCTTCAAGAACACAGTCATGCATTGAAAACAATTGAGGAGCTGAAAATGAAAGAGGTATTCTTGAAAAACTCATTTCACAGCCTAGAAGTACATGGGAAAACTGTCAAACATTTTATATGTAAAAATAGTTCTTTTGATCCTTAACTAAATTTGATTTCATAAGTGGTTTTTAAGTTACAATTGGTTTTTCATGCCTAAGTATTTACTCTGGGGGAGGGGGGGGGTGTAGTTTTGGTGGTATATAATTGAATGCTTAAATAAAACATCAGTTGTTTGAACCCACTAGCTGCTCCACAAGAGAAAGTTGTGGTAATTGACTTCCATAGAGATATACAGCATTGAAAACTCTATGAGACAGTTCACCCCTGTCCTACAAAGTCACTGTGAGTCAGAATAGAAAGTTAATGGCACTGGGTTTGGTTTTATATGTACACATGGTGCTATTCTTGTACAAAGATAGTGCTAATGCACTCAGTCAGGGAGTAAACTTTTAGGAATACTGAAAGTAGGATTGTAAGGAGCAAACAGCTTGTGTCATAGACTCCTGTGTGAAGCCAGCTAGGTGTAGTAACAAGTAGGTACCATCTGGTATATGAGACACTGAAAGCCTAGCTCTCCCCTGCCGTCAGGGAAAATTGAGACCTGGACAGCTTGGCCTGCAACTTAGTAATAATAGCCAGTGTGATTATAATTAAAAGCCCATGGCAGCTTTTAATTAGAAGGGGTCCTTGAGTTTATATCGCTATAAATACATGCTTTGTTTTTTATTTCTCTTAAAATAGGATATATTTTCTCTTTAAAGTTTAATAGGTTACTCACTGAAACATATTTCTTCTTCACAAAGTAAAAATTATATGAGTGGAAACTTAGCAGGATCAGTGAGTCACACCTTGTTCAAATTGGGGTTTGTGGTTATTGCTCTTTTTTTCCTGTGTTTTTATTATATTGCAATATATTAGGAAATTATTTTTTGTAAGCTATGAGCATTGACTATGCAAAGGCATTT